TGATTCTAACACCAGCCTCTCCTTCAGCTCTGCTTGGCTCAGTATGTCCACGAGAACTGCCCCAGAGGCAGCTGAGCCCCCTGTGCCGGTGCAGGCTCCCTCCTCAGCCTCATGCCATGGTGGAGTTTGCTCATTGTCATTACCCCTCTCTGGAGAAAGCACCTTTCTTTGCCTGTGCACATCCTGGTGGCTTTCACAGATGTGAATTTGGAGGTTTTATTTATAACTCAGTGATGCAAACATGGCAAAGGGACCCAGGGTAATGTGAACCTCTCCTAGTGCTGCTCCAGCCCCTGCTTCTCTTCCTCATCATTTGAGACTGGGGCTGAAGGACCCTGTGCTTTATCCCACAGCAGGGACTTGGGGAAGAAGTGACACCAGGAGAGAGGCTTGTCCAGGGCTGAGTATTGCTTGGCTGTCAGCAAGAGCTGGTGATGCTGGGCCCCCACCGCTCTCTGCCTCGGCTCCCTGCACCCCACAGCGTGCTGTGCTCACAGGTGTGGATGCCAGCCAGGTGGGCAAACCCACGTGTCTCACACATGTACATCACACACACGTGTAATGCACATGCATACCCCTGCCCACACGTACACCCAGCACCTCTCCAGGCATGTCCATCCCCTCCCATCCCTCTGCCCCCTTGCCTGCCAAGGCAGGAGGGAGCAGGTGGCGGGTGGGAGTGCTTTCCCAGCACCTTGGTGTGGATCTGGCTTTGGTAGAGGTGACAGGCAAGGCAGGGAAGGTGTTTTACTTTTTTCCCATTGAGCTGCACTTGGGATGCTTTCCCACCTGGAATGGGAGACAAAATCACTTGGGGACAGCTGAAGAAGTCCCACCAAGGGCTGAAGGCTTTTCCCAAGCAGGTGGGACTACTCCTTGTGCCTGACTCAGGTGCTTGTGGGTGACCCCATGGGGTGGCCGAGGCTGGTGGGTGAGTGTCACAGAGCTGGGAAGGCTCAGGGTCATCAGGGGAGCAGCACCTCCCTTCCTCAAACACAGTGTCTCTACTGTCCATCTGACTTTTTAAAGCCTCAGCATTTTCCCTGTGAGCTTCTTGCAAGACAGACGAGTATGAAAATAAAGCTCCTGACCAAAGAAAACGCTCACAGCCCACTCAGAGGGTGTGTTAACCTCGTCATTCACCAAAAGCAAACATCAGGAGTGACGTGGTTACTTTAGGTAGCTGTAGCAGAAAAAGGCCCCTCTGTTTTTCAAACAAGGTGCCTTTTCATTCAGAGGTTGGGGGTGGCTCTAAGAAACCAGTGGCATGTCACTGGGACACCCACTGGAAATGCAGATGTTACCTTACGGCAGGAAAAGACTTTTCTGCATCCAAAGGCAGGAAGCAGCTCCCAAGAGTGTTGACCGTGGTATTTCCGCAGGATCCCCCCAGCCAGGCTGGGACCGCTGGCCGTTTGTTCGTCCCCTTTGAAGGACACAAAGCCCTCGTCTGAGCCCCACAGCTTGGTCACTTCCCTTCTGGCCCAGGGCAGTGCCATCGGACATGGAACTGCTGGGAGGAAAAGCAAACAGAAAGGGGGCCAGAAGGGCTGGACAGAAGACAGGGGTGTTATCAGGTACCCCATCTGTGAGGCTCTGTTGAAACGGGAGGAGAAGGCTGGGGCCATCAAAGCTGCTCTGATGGCCTCGATCCAGATCATAGAAAGGTTTAATCCAGCTTCTGTTGGGCTTCTTTCTTCTCATGGTGGGCTCCCCTTCCTCCCAAACCAGGGACAGGCCCCACCGTCCTCTTCCTCTTCTCTGTCTGGGAGATGACCTGTGGAATGCTGGGCATTGCAAAGGGCAGCCCCCTGCCCCGGGGAGCCCCTTTGGTCATCTGTGGGGCCAGGGGACCCTTGGGTGGGCCAGTACCCCAGGAATGGTTTGGAAGCATGATTGAGGCTATGGCATGGGCGATAAGCCAGCCTGTGGGGAAGAGTTCCACTCTTGGGGGCACACCCATCCCAGCTGATCACAGTTTACATGCACTGTACAAGATCCTAGATTGTGCAGAAAGTCACATACACGTTTGTGGGTGTGTGTGTGACCTTATGTGGGGCTTTTCTGTGAACATATGCACACGGTCAAATGATCTCAGCAGTTTTGGGAAGAGGTGTCTTGCTGACCTGAACTGCAGCTGGGCTGCTGAGGGCTCACAAGCTGGTTCCCCTGTGGGGTGACCCCTTTGTGTGCTCTGGGACAGACACAGTGACATCCTGGTTGTGCCAATGTCTCACTTCTCTTCCCAGCCTGGCAGCATGGCAGCCTAGTCAGGCTGGCAACATCTGTGGTGGCACACAGACCTTTATGGGAAGGGACAGGAGGGTCCCTGGGGGTGTCACCAGGGCTGTGCACAGGAGCCGGTCCCCCAGCTGTGGCAGAGCAGTGTTTCTGAGAGCTGGAGCATGGGGAGATTTTACCCACACACCCTCTGCAGCACTTCTGCTTCCCAAGAAGGTTAGACATCCGGGGCTGGCTTTTTGGTGAAACAGTGAGCTGCTCTGGTTAGCAAAAATCCCCAGCTCTGCCCTGTGCTGCCCCGTGTGCTGCCCTCCACCACTCTCACCCCACGGCCACCTCCTGGCAGTGTCCCATCACCTATGGCCCAGCAGGAGATGTGGGGCTGGGGTCTCTGACAGGAATGATTCCGATTGCCTCGTGCAATGAGAAAAGGGGAAGCTGCAGCTGGAAGGACTCCTACCCCAAACCTCTCCAGGGCCAGCATTTTTCCTGGTGACCTTGAGGCAGAGACTGGAGGCAGCCAGCTGGCTTCCAGGACAGTATCCCCCTCTTCTAAAATGCCAGCTTGGTCTCTAAATAACACCTGGCATAGCTCTTTCCCCAGGGACCAGAGCAGTGAGAGACTGAGCCCTCTATACTCTCGTGCTGCAGGACTCATGGCCCATTTTACAGCTGGGGAAACTGAGGTTCAGTGGGGTCCCTGACTCTGCCTTGCAGCAAGCTCATGATGCAGCCCTGTGGGTTTGCCAGGCACTGGGAAGTGTTTTCCAGGATTTGTGGGGGCTGTTGCTCTGCCAGGGGTCCACACTTTCTCCCACCCCAGCTGTGCTGTCAGGGCAGCCCGGGCACCTTCACCTGCCCAGAGGAGGGATCCAGAGGGGCCCAGTGTCTCACACCCCTGCAGCAGCCCCCTGCCCTCATCACCCACTGCCCCTCCTGGCCATATCTCCCAGGAATGCTGGCTCCTGCCCCTCCAGCTGCCTCCTGGGGCAATCAGTGGGGAACACATGGGCCTTATCTACGGGCCAGCTGTGGGAAGGGCTCCCTGCCATCCCTATCAGTGGGGTGGCTCCAGACCTGGGGCAGAGGGGAGCCAGACCCATTCCTGCTGTGCTGGGGCCAGGGCTGGGGGCATTGTCACTGCCCCACACTGACCATTGCAGGGGGATGCTCAGAGTTCTGGGACCCCTCTCCAGCCTGGTGGCCGGTGTTGCTGTGACAATGACAGATTTGCAGGGATCCAGCCAAGGCCATTGAGCTGGGCAGTTGTGGATTGTGTTGGAACGTTGAAGGCAGATGGTGGCAGCAGTCTTACTACTGCCAGCAGGATCCACATCCCTCATCCATTTCCACCAAACTCTCAGCAGCAATTTCCTCACCAGGGAGATGCTTGCAGGGCTGAGGGGGGCTCAAAAGGGCCAGCACCCTGGTAAAGGCTTTCCTGCTCTTTCACAAGTCTGATAGACCTTTGTGTTTTATTTATTTCTCGAGTTGTGCCCACCCTCCTGTTCCCAGTGGCTCGGCAGAGTGCTGATGGGAAACTGGCGGGGTGGGGATGCTGACTCTCTCCTAAACCCCAGGAGTGTGGGGAACAGGGTCATCTGTGGCCATGTAAAGCGTGGGCATCCCTTTGAAGAGGTGCCTGTGGAGTGTGGTTCTCCCCAGAGGCGGGTGCCAGACATCCCCCCACGCTATGGGGTGCCAGTGCTCCCTGGGGGCTGGTCCTGCCTGGCACAGGGGCTGGGCAGAGTGTGGGAGGTCCCTTGGGAGAGGGAGCATCCTGGCTGTTCAGTGCCACTGAGCAGAATCTGTTCCTCTGTCCTGTGGCAGCAGTGACCATGGATCACCAAAAGCTCAGGGTGCAGATCTTTATTGTCCACTGGTCTGGCTGTGCCACAGCCTGAGCTGGGCATGGGGCTCTCACTCCCCAGCATCCCAAACATCCACCGTGGCCTCAGGCTCTGGGTGGGAGAGCAGAGTATGAGGAGGAAGGTGTTTTGGTCTCCTACCAGCTCCTACCAAGGATATAAATGAGGAGTTTTCTTCCCTGCCATGTTCTGGCCATGGGGAAGGGGTGATGGTCAGCTGCGAGCCTGCTGTGCCCACCGAGGTCAGCCCTCTGGCCATAACCACAGGGAACTAGAGACAGTGGAAAACTGTCTAAACCCCATACAAATATTTGCATTTTAAGGGCTTTTCCAAGTATTGGGGAATGCTGACACAGCAGCAGTGTGGGTGAGCTGGCATGCTGAGAGGGTCTGTTTTAGGGGGGTGAAGCAGGATTTCCATGGTCAAAGAGTTTTGTTTAAATTAAGGAAAAAAAAAAAAAAAGCTAAATGAGCAAATGGGGAGAATTTCCAGCACTGCTGCAGGTTTCTCTGCCAGCTCCTTGGGGCAAAACAGCCACCCTGATGCTGAGTGGACCACAAACCTTCAACCACCCCTTGCCCTGGATTGGTGGGTGTATGGCTCACATCTCTGTGTTCCTTTTTGCTCCTCTGCTGAAAGGTTTTTGGCAGGAAAGGGAGTCCCTGTGGCTGCTCTGCCCTGGAGCATCCTGAAGGTCTGGGGCTGAGGTAGAACTGGTGGGACCCTGACCCATCTCTTGCCCCCCATGCCCCTGCCAGGGGATGCTCACTTGCCAGCTTTTGCCTGTGGTAGCAGTGTGGAAAACACTGACTGGGGAACAAGGGTGGCCGTGAGCCCTGATGGCTTCAGGACCATACATTCCAGGCATAGATAGGGCCTGTGGTAGCAGTGTGGAAAACACTGACTGGGGAACAAGGGTAGCCGTTGAGCCCTGATGGCTTCAGGACCATGCATTCCAGGCATAGATAGTGGCTGGAATAAGGGAGGAGTTGAAGGGACTCTGGGCTCTCCCATCCCACTGCATTCCCCCTCTCCACACACATTTCCGCCAGCTCCTGAGGCAGGTTGAAGCAAGCAAGGAACAGGCACGTCCTGTCCTGTTGGCACAGGGAGGGCTCAGCACCTTGGGCTGCAGGGGTGAGAGCCCTCTGTGTCCCCAGGGGACAGTTCTGGGGTGGTGACACCCAGACCCCCAATGACTGTCCACAGCAGAGCAGTGTGTGGGTGTGTCCTGGCCCATGCAGGGTGCTCTTGGGCACGGTGATGGGGCTGGGGGCTCGATGCAGGTAGTCAGTGCTGTGGGCGTCCCTGGTGCATCCATCCCCCATGAGGGGATGCAGAGGGGAGAGTGTGCAGCAATGGAGCCCTCCTTGCACACATGTGCATGTGTGCTGGGGCTCACTCATGCAGAGCATCAATGTGTGGGGCTGCCCTCTGCTCTGGGTTTGGGGCCCAGCTGTGTTCTGCATCCCCTCATGGGTTGGCAGGTTGCTCCATGCCCCAGAGCTGTACCTGGAACCTTGTGCTGAGCTTGGGGAATGCAGGGGACCAGGGCTCTGTCAGGCTCAGGTACTACCTGAGTGGCAAGAAGGATCATCATGGTGCTACAGCAGTGAGTCAGGGACAGCCAGACACAGGTGTGATGAGCAAGGGGACCGGCACGTGCCGCCGTGCCACCCACCCGTGGGTGGTGCTGGCCCTGGGGCTATGCCAGGCAGGGGAAGAGGCTCCTGCACGTGTCTGGGCAGTGCAGCATGTGTGGCTGCGTGCTGGGGATGGGCTCTGCTTCCCTGGGGCCAGGGATACGTGCAGATCATCCCAGTGCTGATGGACCACAGGGGGATGAGCACCAGGTGGATGAGCAGGACAGCAGGGCTGGCATGACACAGCCTGCAGTGACTGTCACATAAAGGCCAACAGATGTCACAGGAGCTGATGTGTTTCTTCAGCCGTAGCCAATGCTGGTGATACAGGGGTGCTGGGTAGGGGCCCCCATTGGTTCCATGCACACTGTGGGGCCAGGAGCAGCCATGGTGAGGGGTCTGCTGGTGCAAGGTGTGGGTAATTGTGTGTGTGAATTGAATGTGAGTGCAGAGGGCTGGATGTGCATCATGCGGCGTGTCAGGTTGGGTTACAGCATATAGGGCAGGAAAGAGTATGTACAGTGTGTAGGGACAGGGATATGGGGCTTGGTTAATGGGGCTGACAGGAGGAGAGGGCCAGGTGTGCACAGCACCTCGGATATGCACAGAGTCCCCACAGGACTGCCTCCTCCTTCATCCCATTCCCTCCTCCCAGCCCCTCCCCACCATCCCATTCTCATGACAACAGGAGCATCCTGCTCCTACAGCAAGGTGCAGAGCACCCATCTGGGGCCCTGGTGCCACTCTGGCTGCAGCAGAAGCCCCCTGCCAGAGGGGCAAAGGGTAGCGGTTCCAAGGGGACCCAGTATAAACCAGAACTAATTTTTCTTGACGGGTTGGGAGAGGGCCTGGAGCCATGGACACCGCTGGAACCCATGAGGATTCTGGGATCCATCTAAGACAAAGTTCTGCTGCTCCCCTGCCTAAGCCCCCAGCTCCCCACTCAGATTGTTCCCTCCATCCCCCTGGTCTCCTCCCCAGGCCGGGGTGCTGCTGCTGTCCCCAGGCCAGGCTCTGAGCGCTGGGCCAGCCCTGCCCTCTAGTGCCCCGGGAGCTGCTCCGTGCAGGGCTCAGCCCCGGCTCCCTGCAGCTGGGCCACCCAAAGTGCTGCCGGGCCCGCGGAGCAGAGCAGGGGCTGACAGGCTTCCCACCGCCCCGCGCACCACCTCCCACCCCGACACTGAGGGGACATGGGGACACGGCCCGGACCCTCCGGAGCACCACAGCCCGAGGGAGCAGCGCTGTCCCCGCAGCACAGGTGCCCTGCGCCCCAGGCCTTGGGACAGGCAGGCGTGCCGGTGACAATTATTGCCTTCCCGGCACCCCGGGTCGTTAACCTGGTGGCCAAAGCGCTCGGTGGGCCGGGACGGCGTGGGGCCACGCCAATGGGTGCCCGCAGCTGCGGGAGAGGGAGGGAGGCTCCGCAGGCTCTGGTTAAACTGGAACGAGGCGCGGCATCGTCCCGCGGTCCCTGCCCTGGGGACTCTGACCCCGTGGGCCGGCGAGGGGAGCTGCAGTGAAGAGCAGCCCCACAGCCACTGGGACGGAGCCAGCGAGGAGCCGAACAGGATGGATCCCACCTGGGAGCTGGCAGATGACCCCAGGTGAGTGCTGAGACTCCCGTGCCGCTTCGTAGCCGGGCAAATCCAACTTTTTGGGTCGGAACTTTGGATGATTCGTTCCCTCTGTAAAGGAAGGGAGCCGCTTGGTGGTGCGGCAAGCCAGCCAGGGGACTGCTCGGAGCCTGCGGGGCTGGGCGTCCCCATGTCCCCGTGCAGCACTCCCGGTTCTGCTCCGCAGGTTCTCCCGCCCTTTGGTGGAGATGCTGATCAGGAACTTCAGCGTGCCCGCAGCCTGCTTCTCCCTGCCGCCCACCTCCCGGCAGCTGCTGCACCGTAGGTGGGGGGACGGGGTGGGGAGGCCCCTCCTGTTGTCGCTGGTGGGAGCAGGACAGGGATGAGGGTGTAGGGTAGCCGAGGCAAGTGCAGGCACGGAGCAGCCCTAGAAGTCAGAAACGGGGCTGCTGCCAGGGTCTTAGCCTCCCATCCCATAGTCCCACATGTAGGGATGGGAACAGCCCAGGAAGGGCCAGCACTGGGGCAGGTGTCATGGGACAGGGAACAGTGGCACAGAAGGGCCAGCTCTGGCATAGACAGGCATGTCCAGGGCGTGGCACAGAGCTCCCTAAACCTGGGGAGTGGTGGGTCGAGGGGCAGCTCCCTGCGGTAGTGGCCCCAGGGGAGACCGCACAGGATGAAGACAGCTTCTCACCCCTCCCTGGCAGAGCTGGACATGGCCCAACTCATCATCCTGGGCCTCTGCACCATCATGACACTGCTGTCGGTTGTGATCTATGTTGAAGAGGTTTCGTACCTCTTCCGCAAGATCCGCTGCCCTATCAAGATGAAGACCCTCTGCTGGAGCAGCTCAGCCCCTACGGTGAGCTGGGCTGTGGGGGTGCTGGGGGGCATCACCCTGGGGTGCCAGCCCACAGGAGGGGGAGTGCCAGTGTGCCAAGCTCACGTGTCCCCCAGGTTGTGTCAGTGGTCAGCTGCTTTGGCCTGTGGTTCCCGCGCTCCATGATGGTGGTGGAGATGGCTACCACGGCGTGAGTATCACCCACCCTGGGACAGGCACCGTGGAGCCCACAGGGCTTGACCTGCCTTCCTCCTCCTCCCCAGGTACTTCGCTGTCTGCTTCTACCTGCTGATGCTGGTCATGGTGGAGGGCTTTGGGGGGAAGGAGGCACTGCTCAGCACTCTGAAGGATGTGCCCATGGTGGTCAGCACTGGGCCCTGCTGCTGCTGCTGCCCCTGCCTGCCCCGAATCACCATGAGCAGGTGAGGGGGAGCTGGGATAAACCTCTGCCCTGGAGGGCTTTCACCCCGTTCTTCTGCTGGGCTGGAAGAGAATTCCCTGGGCAGGGAACTGGGGACTTCAGAGTGCTACCGGTTTTTCTCACCACACCAGGATAAAGCTTAAATTGATGATCCTGGGGACTTTCCAGTACGCCCTCTTCAAGGCAGTCGCTGTCTTTCTGGGGCTGATCCTGGCCACCGATGGGAATTACAACCCCGCTGACGTGAGTGCCAGAGCACAGGGATGGGCAGGTTGATAAGACAGGAAGCCTCCACCTGAACTTTGTCAGCCCAGTAATGTTTTCTGTGTTTCCCCCTCAGATTTCAGCGGAGAGCGTGTCCCTCTGGATCAACACCTTGGTTGGTGTCTCTGCCCTCTTTGGGCTGTGGGGTCTGGGCATCCTCTTCCGGCAGGCCCGGCTGCACCTGGCTGAGCAGAACATGCAGGCCAAGTTCACCTGTTTCCAGGTGAGTCCCTGTCCTGCCCAGCTCCCTCCTAGGTGAGGGAGTTCTGCAACACTGATGGGGTGAGGCAGCACAAGGGAAGATGGTGGGGCAGGAGCCACTGCTGGGCGAGAGCCCCGCTGGCTGCAGGACAGCAGGGAAGGTGAAGGCTGGGAGCCGGGCAGCAGCACGGCCTTCACCACTGGAGCGTTGGTGGTTGCAGATCCTGCTCCTCCTGACGGCGCTCCAGCCTGCCATCTTCAGCATCCTGGCCAACAACGGCAGCATTGCCTGCTCACCGCCCTTCTCCTCCAAGGCCAGGTCGCAGCGTAAGTACGGAGATGAGAGAGCAGCACACGTGCTCCCAGCCAAGCCCTTCCATCACGTGCCATGGCATGGGGGGGGTGGGCATTGTGACTGAGGGCAGCTTCAAAAGACCCTTCTCCTGTTGCAGAGATGAATGTGCAGCTGTTGATCCCGCAGACCTTCATCCTGGCGGTGCTGACGCGGATGTACTACCGCAAGCAGGATGACAAGCCGGGCTACCAGCCCGTCGGCTTCGCAGCCACAGGCGCCGACGCCAAGGCATGAGCAGAGCAGGAGGGACAAACTGGGGTGCCAAGGGGCAGAGTGGGGTGAGGGGCTGGTCTACCCTGCACAACCTTCTCCTTCTCCCCTGGCCTTGGGGAGCTGCTGGCAGCAGAAGAGGCAGAAGGGGAAAGAGCATCTTGGGACAGAATGAAAGGGTCTGAATCCAAAAAGCCATAAGCCAAGGGGGTCCATGGAGCCACCTCCAGCCCAGGGTCTTGTCTAGCACTGAGTAAAGATAAATTTTTACAAGAGTCTTGCATTGGTGACTGGCTTCATATTATCTCTGCCTAGGCTGGGTGGGAGATGACTCCATACAGGGGGAGGAGGATGGAGCCCAGACTAACACAGCCATGGCATGGGACCGTCACGGGATGCTCAACATCCCGCTGACACTGAACTCTGGGTGCTGCTGGCTGGGGTCCCACAGCCAAGGCAAGCCCAGGCCAATGGTGATTTCTCCCAAGATATCAGGATGGGTCTGACTTGTCCCTGGGGCCTGTTCTCCATAGGACTGGCTGCTCCTGAAAGCACACAGGGAGCATCCACACCTGTCAGTTAGGTGCCAGGCAAAGGAAGGAGCCTTGAAGCACCTTTTTAACACTGGCAATTAGTCAATGCTGCCTTCACCAGCCTCGGTCCAGTAGCAGTACCTGCTCTAGACACGGGGATGGACATCAGGAGCAATGACAATTTGCAGAAACCACTGGGTAATCTTTTGACCCCAAGTGTTCATTACAGATGCCAGAAGCACAATTCAGACCATGGTTTCAAATGAGCAGATCACATGTTAAAAAATATTGCAGAATTCTCCAATGCTCTTGCTTCTACCACCATCCCTGGTACTTCTCAATTCTGTTCTGTTGCTGCTGTTCTTTGCCATCAGAAAATCCTTTCCCAGGGGCTCACACTCCAGACCTACAGAGGAAGTGAGCAGACGCCTCTAGATTTAGCAGCACCAAACTCCACAGGGTTCTTCACTGCATGCTAGTAAACTTTTGTTTTTTCACTGCACATTTTACTTCATGCCTCTTCTGGATGCTTCTTTTGAAGAGTGAGGGATGGCTTAGAGGTGTGCAGAACAGCCCTGGAGCAGCAGTACTGGGTGTATCTGTGGGAATGAGATGATCCTGGGGAACTTGGCTCATCTTTTGTTGAAAGATCAAGCTCTTACCTACTCCTGATAAAACATGACACTGCTGCAGAAGACTGGTCCAGCAATCCAGGAGAAAACAAAACAAAGGAAAAAAAAAGGACTAGACTGGGATTTCAGTGTCCAATTTAATTTCAGTGCAAGGAGAAAGCAGAGATTATTGGTTACAAGAAACAGCTCTGTTATTCCAAGCTACATGTAAAACCATGGCTGGCTTCTTACCAAGCACCCCAGATTTTGCAGAGAGACCAAGTATGTTAAAGTCTCTGCAGAACAAGCCACAATCCAGAACATCGTGGATACCCAAACTTAGAGAACACTGTTGCATAACTTGTATTTAAAACAGTAGTAAGGCTCTAAAGCAGCCTGGCCTTTGTGATCTGGCTCAGGAAAGCAACCGCAACATCCATAGTGAGGGAAGGGTAGGAAGGGAAGATGAAGGAAGAGACAATGTGGGTGATACAAAGGAAGTGTTCTACCACTCATAAACCAGAGGATTAACAACTGGCTTCTACCTCGTGACTGTTATTTGCTCCTTACTGTTTAAAATCCATGGCAGCCAGCCATGCTCCACAGCTGTGCACATCCCTGCTGAAAGAGGTCCAAGAGGCAGATTAGTGATCCCCAAAATACCCTTTCCCATACTGTTCTGGCTTCAAGAGAAGCACATAACCTCTGTCAAGCCCTTTGGGCAGCGTGACAAAAGACCATCAAGACAAAAGCTGGAAAGAGACTGCAGCCTGTTCCTACCACAGGGCCACCACGTGCTCTGGAAGCATCACAGTGTGCAGAGCTTGTGGCAGCACTTGATGAGTTTCTTCCTTGCACGTGCTGCTCCCCAAGCTTCACATCCTGCTCTGGAGACCTCCCAGCAGCACTGCTGACAAGGCTCTGAGCTGTCCTCTGTTCCCAGCACCACAGGATACAGGCAACTCAGCCCAGCAGCTCCACCCAGAGACAGTGGGTATCAGAGGCAAACCATGGCAGAAAAGCTCCACAGCTACATGACAGCAAGGCCAGTTTCTCCAGTGCTGGCTGCAGGACAGGGTGCACCAGCCTGCTCTGCTCAGCCATGAGGAGGGCAAGTCCCCTTGGGGAGCCACAGGCCACAAAGCTCAGTGTGTATCACAGACACAACAGCAGGCACAACTTGGACCATGGACTCAAACGAGCATTATGTGTTTAAATAACTTTAAAAAGCTGCAGCACTCTCTGATGCTCCTTCCATCCTGCCCTATGGAGCAGAGTGAGCAGGCATGGATTTGTGCATGTACTGCACAAGCCAGGTAACTGTCACACAGAACTGGGGCCCTTCATCTGTCCAGCTGCACACACTGACATCAGCAGCAAACTGGCTGCTGTGTCCTTAAGAGCAGCGACTTCATGGCACCAGTGTGAAGGACTCCTCCAGCCCCTGCAGCACAGCAACTGAAACACAGACAAACACACACAGAGCACAGTGCTGAGGGACCATTTGGACAGACACTAAAACGTGTAACACACCACAGACTGGAACAAGGAACTTCTCAAAAGACTAGACACATTAATTTCCTACCTGGGCTCTCACACACCCAAGGAAATGCACGACAGCAAATGCCCTGAAGCAAAGATTGATTCTCTTCTCTCCAACAGCAACTGAGGGCTCAATTTTAGCTCAGGATTTAGCAGTCTTGTTAAGATTAGCTGGAAAGACCTTTCCCCTGCAGCCCCTCTACTGTTTGGAGCTGTGAATGCTGTGCACTTTACGGGGTGTGCCACTCTACAGTGCTGCAAGTCCTTCCCGGGTGTAACTCCTGCGTGCCAAGCTGGTACCCCCTGCCCAGCACGTCCTCACTGCGACACACTGGGAAGCTCAGTTAAGAGGCATGCGAGCACTACAGGATCTGCTGGATAGATTCCTATCAGCTCCAGCCCAGCAGGGATGTCTCTATTTCCTAGAAGCCTCATTACACCACTGCTTCGTGCATGCTCTCGAGGTCATGCTGGTTGAGGAACTGAGGGGTCTTTCGTTTGGCAGTGGCACAGATACTGCCTGGGGGTGAGGGGGATAAGACAGAGGAGCTGAAGGAAAGAAGAGACAGATGGGTCTTCCCACTCTCCCTCTTGCCTGGAGGATTAACAAGGGAAAAGAAACCAAAACAAAAGCCACGCCTGAGTGCTATTCCTTGCCCTTTTAACAAATATTTTCTTAAAATATAAAAACCATCTTCACCCTGGAAACCGCTAAAACGTAAACAATAAAACGGGGATTTAGGGAGAAGGGAGAGGAGGTTTGAATGTGCTTCCAGGCAGCAGCCCTTGCTATGAGCAACAGGTGCCTCCAAGGCCCTGTGCTCACCATCAGCCCTGTTCCTATGGCTCTCTTGCTCATTTAGAGTTCCCCAGTGGGTCTGGACTTAGGATTCAGCGATTAGCGGTCCGCAGCAAATCCTGGCAGGTAGGTTAATCCTCTTCATCCTCACTGATGTCATAGGTGACTGCAGACTCGTTCCTGGAGCGGTTGGCAGGGGAGGAAGGAGGAGTCTTGGTGGAAAAGGGCCAGCGGAAGGAGGGAGATGGGGAGCGCTCGTGTGTGGGGCTGCTGCTGGGACTCTGCTTTGGGCTGATGGCCTGCAGCATCCGGCCCTTGCCCTCCTTCAGCATGTGTTTCTGGTGAGGGAAGCAGGAGGACAGTAAGCATGGGTAACACAGTCATGAAAAAGGACACTGCTTACAGCCTGTGCAGCATTTTGAGTTGTGCCCCTTTAAAACTTCATGCTATTGAAGAGCAGAAAAAGCCCCAGCATTACTCTGGGCTTTGGAGCTGCACACAGTGCAATCACCACTCATTTTCAAGTACCTCTAACAAGAAATACTTGTGATATTCATCCAACAGTGCAGGAAAGCCTGGCATAAACAAGTAGCTTCAGACTCATCTTAGGCCAATGACAAAGTGACCACCATCCTCTTGGCAGCTCAGTGGTCAGCAGGGCACAAACTGGAGTTTACAGGCCAGCTCGTGGGACAGGAGAATTTTTTCACTCTACAATGTAACTGGCATTATCTCGTTGGCAATTGTGAGTACTCCCTGAAAACAGGATGCCCAAGCCTGGGACAATTTGTCTGGAGACTGGCAGCACACTGAGCACTGCAACAAATGCCAAACCTTTCCTCTGCAGACTCTCTAGAAGCCCTACAATGTCTGTTAATGTCTCCAAAGTTCCTTTTCCCCTTTTCCCAGAGCAACTCCTTACCAATGCACCTTCTGGGCCAAACATCTCCAGGAAATTGCCGATGAACTCTCGGGACTTCTCTTCCCACTTCTGAATGAGATCAATACTCTTCTCTTCCACTTTCTGGACAAATTCCTTTGACTTCTCCTCCACATCCTTCACCCTCTTTTTCACCTTATCCACACGTTCCTGGAGGTGATATTTCTTCTCCTGCATAGAGAGTGGTGGATCAGAATACAGGTCACCAGATTTCAGTGGAGATCATCTCTGCTCTGTTACTACACTAAACTGCTGCTTGAGACTCAGCATCTCCATTAGTCTGGTGACACTTCTCCTTCACTTCCATGACACTTCTTTCCTAGACTACATGGCAGACACAGTGGGGCTGTGAGACACTCTGTAGCAGGCACTGGCACGGTACACAAAGCAAGACTAAAGCCAGAGATAAGCACTATCTAACAGGAGTGCATGGAAGAGGGAAATATTTATACAGCACACAGATTAGATTCGAGTGACTTGCTGTAGTTCTCTGCATATCACAACAGCACCAGTCTTTCTGCTGGGTGTTTTTAAACAGAGGCAGAGTTATGTGCCAAAGAGAGGCCAAGCAGCCATTACCTCTCCTGTTTCATTGCTGTTCACAGGCACAGTATCTGGGTGATAAAAAAAAATGTTTACGACTTTACATCCAGCATCAAAAATGTCTTCTGCCATGTATTCTTTCTGAGGGCTAGAGCTGCACAGCACAGGAGCAGGGCATATCCTTCTGTCCCATGCAAGCACTGCTGCTCCTGCAGCTTCAGGAAGGGAACAGTACAGTGGAGACAGCATCAGATTTTATCCTAACAAATGACTCTATCCTAAGGAGGTGGCTGGGGAAAGAGGAGAGAGATGAGACAGCATCTGCTGTCAAGAACAACTCACTCTTCATTCAAGAAAACATACATTTTGCCACACACCCTCTCTCCAGCTCTTTCAATAGGTAAGACATCATCAAGACATCTCTGACAAGAGAGCAGCATTAGCAACCCCCCAGTTCCTCTGAGTGGGTCCCTGAGGTGATTTCAGGGGTGGAAGTCTTAATTTTTACTCCAAGGACACTGGTTTGGTACCAACGCTTAGCTCTGCAGACAGCCCTTTCACTGGCACATGGCAGGACTGTGCTGTCACTAGACAAGGCTCCCTTCACACTTGACAAGATTCTGGCTCCTGCAGCGTGTGCTGAGACCCACTTGAACTCACGTTTATGAAGCTGACGTTGAGCTCCTTGGCCGTGTAGCCCCGCTGCAGGTTCCGCCTGGCGTAGACGTCGTAGTCCCGCACGATGCGCGTGATGATGTCGGATGTGGAGATGCCCTCGGTCCTCTGGGTTGGTGCAAACATGCCTAAAGTTGGGGAAAAGGACCCAGGACAGCTTGAGCAAGACGCAGGGCAAAAAGCTGCTGCCACCTCTGTCAGGAAACAATTTATCCTGTCAAGAGCTCACTGTTGCTAACTGTTCTCACATCTTTGTCCTTAAATGTGCAATACCACAGCCATCCTTTCTGGGATGCCTAAGTACCACCAAAACATGTCAAAACCCTTCAAAATACCACGTATTCTAATGAAAAGGTCTTCACTTTAGCTAGTTTAAATACTGATTGCATACACAATAGTGTGGGGGCAAGGACATCCATTTTAATGGATGGAAATATAACATTGTGATGGCTGAGTTTGGATAGATATAACAAAGCTGCATCCCCAGTGAATTTAACAGCAAACTGCTAGAGGTGTCCCTCTGCTAAGTTCATGAGATTCTCCATTTGTAAGAATCTCTAAGCCAAACTGGAGTATGTTTTCAAGAGGTTGCTGTTAATTCAATAAAAATAACTAGACTGAAATTAGGAATTAATGCTGGGCCATGAAACATCCTAGTGTTATGAATCAGGGCCCAGAGCTGCTTCTTCTGCCACCAGAGGCTCCTGGGCAGACTTTTTTCCTAAAGGGACATAATTTTGCATTACAGAGGTACAAGAGAAACTACAGAAGATTTTCAGTAGGAAGCCCTGGAGAATTTGAGGGAGACCCACCTGCTTCTTTTATATGCTTATAGACATCATCACTGCCAGCAGAAGAGTATGGGATGTCATCATGTGCAACGAAGTCAATCTGAAAATTAAAAAAGCAAGTCAACATTTTATCTGGAACGTAAGGATCTCCTGCTGCTGTAGAAAAGATGCTAACTTTCGGCTCAACACCTCCACTCAGGGGTGTGAGAGAGAACAGCAGACGTTCCCTCAGTTACAACACAACACAGAGTCCCAAGTGCTCAGTGGCAATTGCCTGTGAATTCTAAGTACATGACAGAGATGAAAGAAAAGGCTGGGAATACGGACACAGCTGCTTTAAGCTCCACAGAGAAATGGCTTGTTAACGACAACAACGGTAAACTAAGCATGCTCCCCTGGAGACTCCTTCACCTCCCAAAGCTGTTCAACAGATGTTAAGAGATTCCTTTCACTTAATCTCACCAACTGATAAAAGGCTTTCAAGACAGCTTGTCTGGTCTCCTGCGGCAGGGAAGCTGATGTATATCTAAGCTGCTCCAGCTGAAAGCAGAGTTGGACCACACACCCCCCAGAAACTTCCAGCCCACGTATTCCTCTCTCTACTGCATTTCACACCTCTCTGTAACCAGCACCAACTTCTCCTGAAATAGGGAGAACCTTTTTCATTATTTCACAATCTCTACATTATTTTAACATTACATGCCAGCTCAGCAAATGCTTCTACACTCCCAAGAAACCCACTCAATTCCCATAACCCAGTTCATTCTATATTTACGGAGCTTCAACAGAAACAGTTTGTTCAGGCAGAGGTCACCCCCAAAGATGAATTCCTGCTGTAAACAGAGAAGCTAATCGAAATTCCGAACAGATCAGATGTCACAAATTACCCTGTGCTCTGCCAGGAACTCGGGTGTGAGGGTCCAGGGTGCATTTCTCACCACCTCGTCCACATAGCGACAGTGCTGCACAGCATCATAGCGCTCGTTTTCGTTCATCACCGTGAAACCCTTGAAGTTGTGGGTCAGCTCATCACTGCAGACTGGAGAAACAGGCAGAGAACACTGAGTCTGAGGCACTTACCCCGATGATTTACCCTAAAAGGACCTTGCCCACACTCTGCTGAACCTGACAGTGCCAGCAGCTGACAGAGGCTGGTGTTTCAAACCCAGCTCTTCCAGCCACAAAACATCAGGAACAGGGAGCGCTGCAGGGCACTAAACTCCTGAGCAATTCTGGGCAGGCTGTTTGGAGAATTTCTGCCCAAGCTGGGGACCCACACCCCAAGCCTTTAAGGTCTCCAGAGCTTTTAACACTGATCAAGAAAACCAGCTACATAGAAGACCACTCCTCTATAACAAATGGCACTGGGAGGTCTGCTGGTCAGAAATCCACGTTTAAAGCAATAGATATCTCAGGCTTGGAATATGAAGAAACTTATAGCCTGAACTTCTGATTTCATAAAATGCCATACCACAGTCTAGTTCTTAAAAAGTTTATGTTAAAACAAAGGGGGAGTTCACAGGAAATCAAGCTTAATTATTATGTTCTATGAGACAACTCCTCATAATCTGCAATGTAAGATACTGAGGAAGGAGTTCTATTTGATTATCAGACTCAAAAGTAAACAAGGCATTACCAGTCTCACTGGTATTTGATTTATTTACATTCCAGACAAACAGATGATAAAGAGTGGGGGAGACTGTTCCCTGCTTGGAGCTAATGGTCTCCTGGGATGTGGCCTCTTGTCTCAGTCCTGGTGCAAGTTCATTGTCCTTCTCCTCACCAGTCTCCCAGAGGCACAGAACGTTGTTACACTCCTTGCTACTTTAACATGTCAGTAGTTTGACCTGAAGTTATTTTCCTGTTTGTTGTAGTGTTTATGTACATGGGGATGTCTTTCAGCCTTTAAGATTTCTAAGCTCAGGGCAGTTTGTAGGTTGGAGCAACTGTTTCAGCTCTCCTCTCTCCCTTCCCCTTCCAGATACTACTGTAGCACACAAGAAGTGCAGGCACACCACTATTAAAATGCTCTCAGCAATGACTGAAACTGTGATAAGGAAACAAACCGCCCAAGGATGGTATAATCGTTCAATAGCAGGATCAGAATTTCATTTTGTTTCACGAAGACAATGGGAGTTGAGAAAACTAGTTAAAGGTATTTTCAGTTCTCATACTTCAGCATCATTATGCAGTCTGACAGGGGTCAGCTCCTGATGGGCAACATGCACAGCCTGATGTGTCCTCAGTGTGGGTGGAGGGATGAGCAGATGCGCTGCCTGGGCAGAGGCCCATGTACTGTGGCAGCCAGAAAAGGGCTATCTTTTTTCCTGTTACATTCTTGAAGGAGCCTGGCTGAAACACCTCTGCTAGATCCCTTCAGGCACTCAGCAGGACATTCCTGGCATCCTCTAAAGACTTATGACCTAACAGACAAAATGGGGAGCTTCTATTTTGAGAAGGAAGGCCTAACTGACTTCCAGGTGTCCAGACACATGCCCAAGAAACCGCTGTGATCTCCATGCTCCCAGTGGGATCTGTTTGGCACTAAGCAATGTCCAGCAGGAAACTGGAGCTGGGGAGTGACTTGCAGGGCAATACAGGTGAACAAAGCAGCTGTGGAGGGACTCATACTTTAGCTGTCTCATTTATGAGTCAAATGTAGATGCTCAACTATCCCTAATATATTTTGATACTCAGATGTGCAACTCACCTGTACATGTCACAAAATAGAGGGGTCAAACTAAAACAGCACAATCAAAAATATTTTCCTTAAGTAGTCATTTGGTACAGGATATCTTGCTGCAGACATATCCAGCCCTCAACGTTTTGCAATAGGACTCCAGCAACATTTGGGACAAGTGTCTGCAGTGAGAGTCACTGAGGCCACAAAGACAAAACCCCAGTATGCACAACCACAGACAGAGCTAAACTGTACTCCTGCAACAGCCAAAGTCAACAAGGTCACTCCTTACCTCCAACAATGAGGTATGTGTTTGGGAAGAGGTTCTTTGCTTGCATCAAGGCCCGGGCATGTCCAGAGTGGAACAAGTCAAATATTCCATCGGCATAAACTCTGACAGGGCGATCCACTGTGCCAAAGGAACAGAGACACAGCTGTGAATATGCCTTCCTGGAGAAGCAGCTGCTGCTCTTACTCACATTTGAGGACCTTCTGAAAGTCACGGAGGTGTTAAAGAATGCAGCACCATAATCAGGATAGAACTGTGAAGATAAATGACTGGCTCTCTGCCTTCCCATGTGGAAACAAATGCATCTGAGCACAGAGCTGAAATACAGCCACATACAAAGGCAGACTGAAAGCCTACCATGTATCACCCAAACAAGGTGAAGGGGAGACCAAGGGAAAAGCAAACCCTGAACATTTCCCTTCTATGGAAATCCAAATGCAGAATTAACTTTTTGCACAGCAGTGAGATAGCAGAAGGGAACTGGCCCAAATGTTTCACAGGTGCCTGATTTCGTCCTGTCTGCCAGGATGGCATCTCAAGACCTCTACAGCATGCCCCTTTGCACCCTGCTGCCATAGTCTGGTTGAGGGACCAGCAGCATCAGCTCCCCCAGAAACATGCAGTGTACGGCTTTATTCAAAAACACAGCTGAACTACTCAAAGAAAAGCAGACAAAATTCTGCTGAATCACTGGCATTATCAGCTAAACCCACTAATAACAATAATAATAATAATAATAATAATAATAATGAGGTGGAGGAGGAACAAACCTTTCCTCAGGCCACCTCTGCCAGGGGAAATTGCAGCTCAGTTCTTTGAGGTCAGCACAGAGGTAAAGTGAGATAGTCTAGCACTGCCATGTAGTAGTGGGAGGCTTCTGATCTTGGGACCACACAGGACCACAGTCCTCTTGCTGCTGATAATCAAAAGCCACAGTCTTTGTCTGTGACACACTTGGGAACAGCTTGCTGCTCTCTTAGCTCAGTTCAGACAGACTCAGAGGAGTGGTGAGCAGAGGCACACCAAAGCTGCAGTGAAGAGAGGGCAGAAAGAAGACCTAACAGGAAGCTGAGACCCTGGGTCTGGGCAGAGCCCTGGAGGTACCCAGAGACAGAGATTGGGAGGCAGCAAGAAGAGGAGCTGATGCAAAGGTCAGGGTTGTTAACTTCAGGCTAAGCAGAGGAGTCAGTTTGAAGACAGCCTCTTACAATAATTTTTAGTGGTTCTAAGACCTCAATCTGAAGATGCTAGGAGGCTCTGAAGAGCCAAGGATTTGGAGATCTGTGACTGCAAAAGCTTTCTGTATGCCAGATGAGCACTGGTCCTAGCAGACCTTTATGAATGTTCATTCACATTCTGGAAAGTGGCTGGGTCATCCTTATCTTTCCTCTGTACCTGCAGCAGCTACAGTTCCTGAGCACAGCCACAAGGAAGTGTGCACAAGTGTGCATTGTATTTTAGTCTCGGCAGGCAGGAGAGCCACCACTGTTGAAACAGAGACCTTTGTGCAGACTCTGGAGATTTTCAGCTGGGAAATTAATGCAGACTGTGAAATACACTGGATTTTCAGAACCTCTGGCAGGAAACCACAGCCAGGTCTCAATCTGAGCTGGCTCATCTCTCAGCAGTCAGGTAGATAGCAGCGCAGCATTTTTATTGCCTCTGTAGCCACAACAGAGAGGCCAGGTAAGACAGCACTGTCTGCACACTCTGTTTGGCAGGAGAGGGCCGTCATCCTTCAGGAGTCACTTGTGCCTCTGCCTCCCCTGTGGACTTGCAAAGAGAAGAGTGTTTCTCCCAGCCTGGTTTAGAGAATAAAAGGACACATTCTTGTTGTGGGGCTGGCCTGTGGTGTTTAATGACACTGACTTTAACTCAAATCCAGGCTAGAATGGGATAGTCTGGACAAGGATATAAATTGGTTTTACTTGCCCGTTTCAAGTTTCAGAAAATACAACTTTTAAAAAATATGACTTTTAAAGTGCTTAACTTTAAGCTATCTCAGACAAAGCAGAACAGAAAGTGTGCAGTTCTGTGGCTGTCAGTGGCTCAGCTAGAGTTTAAAACAAATATCTGTAATCTCCTCACACATACAAACTCGAATTTCAGGTGTACTGACAGGCCAAATTTCCCATGGAAACAGTTCTCTAATCACCAAAGCACTCACTTAGTCATTGGCTGTAAACCTGGTCAAACACACCAGGGTGGTTTGGTCTCAGAAATATCCCCACGATACCCACACCCCCCAAACTCAATATTTATACAATCCCCTTCCAGTCTGCGTTCTTACTTACAAGGGGTCCCTCTCATGGCTTCTTCATAGGTCACTCTGATGTATGGCTTGCTGTAGTCGATCTCCACTTCATCTGAGAATGGAGCTGGCTCCCGCAGTCCCTAAACAGCCAGGAGAGTTTCACTGTGAGAGTGCAAAAGTGAGGGCAGTTCATAGTGGCAGCACTGCCATCACAGTGTCCTAGCCACCAAGTGACTGCCTCTGCACAATTCAGACACGTGAACTAAAAGACTAATTAGTGTAAAACCTCAAAACAGCCTTGCAGGCTGATTAGCCTGAGTTTAGAAAAGAAGAGAGAGAAAAGTAGAGTTTAGTAAACAGTGTTTCTACTGGAGAAAGAAAATCAGAGGGTCAGAGCTGCAGCTGCTAAACTGAGACTTTTGACAAACAGCAGTTCACAGCAGCACAAGCCAAGCTTCAAACCTCACTGTCACAGCTCCAGCTGTGCCCACTCTGGCAAGACCATCACTCTGCTGTGCCTGAGTGTTTGTGCTGTGATGTACAAACTGTAACAGCTCCTTGATTTGAGTATATGAACGAGCAGAAGAACAATACCAACTGCAGCACTAACTCCGAGGGAACGTGTGTTGTCACCATTTCTGAGCCATACAGGTGAGACACTCACCTTGATCTGTAGCAGAATAACTCCAACTGCTGCAAGAAAACCCCTCTACCCTGCTAGCTTGACAACAGCACTACATTTAATCAACAGCTGAAGTCCAGCCATCATTTCTGGTCTGCTCTGAATGGAAATGAAACATCTGCCCTTCCCATTACAAAACAAACAGCTCAATTTCCTTCTAGCTGGAAGGTGTAGGGCTGCAATGGACATCTTGTTCCTGAATCAGAACACTAGGAAACAAGCTTGCAAATCATTACAATAATACCTTCAAGCTGAAAAGGCTAATCTGCAGTTTCCTCTCTGGCTTCCTGTCCCACTGCAGAATCCTGGCAGCGTCCAGCACCACTGCAACCAGAAAAACTGCTGCTATTCTGGCCAGTGTCAATCCTTATTAGAGTGCTTATAGAGAAATGCACAGGAAAACAACCATTGACCACGACATGCAAACAAGCTGCTACTGCTGAACAGCTCCTTTAAGTTACTGAGGGCTCCACATTTCACACAGCACCTCCTCTACCAGGATCCTTACTGTCAGATAAGGCTTGCAGGTCTCTCCTCTCATCACTGTTAAGTCTAGGCTTTCCCTATAAAACCCGATTCTTGGCAGTTTAGTTGAAGTTAGGAATAAAAGCCCTATCAAAATTATCAGAGGAACACAGAGACATGTCCTCAAAAGGTCCTGACAGAATCTTGCCCTTCCCCTGCAGGGCCAGTGAGGGTCAAAACTCAACCTGATGTGTACAATACAACAGGCTTATGTGTCAGCAGGTTTGTTACCACCATCTGCTGCTGAGCCCTGCTGCTTCAGGGGAACATTCTGACAACAGCTGCTTAGTTGGGAGTGGAAAAGACTTCAAGGTAATCTCACAGGCAACACTATTACTCTTGCTATAATAAATAAAACTTTTGCAAAAAGAAGAAAAAAAAGAAATCTTTCACCAGGGGAACTGAGTTTGCCCTGTGGCTAAAAACCAGGCAGGAAGCTTAGAAAGTGGCTGGATATTACTTGTCTTGTGCTGTTTGCCAATGCTTTATTTCTAACAGAGGACAGACAGCAACTTGAAGACCAAGTGACTCTCACGGAATAATAAATAACCTGCACAGTTCTCTTTCCTTACTGAAATACGTGAGATCTTTAAGAGGGATAGGGTGGGTTTTGGCAACAGTGAAGGACATAAATATTCTGTGGGATAAGTCACACAACAGCTCAAGCCTCCCCAGTTCTCACTGCTGGTGCTGCTCTTACTTCATCACCACTGTCAATGCTCTGTGACAGGGCTGAAGCCCTCCTGAAGAGCAAAGTGTTGTCATCGAGGAGGAAGATTGCAACACATCACCACATTTTGCCAAGGACCATGACCCTGGTATGACGTGGCAGGGATGGTAGCTGGCTTTTGACAGAGATAAGAAAAGAACAACTAGAGCACACGTGATGCACAGGACAGCTCCAGGAAGAGGGCAGAGAAGAACTATAAAAAGCCAATTGTCGCAATCTTGTGGCAAGGACGAGTTAAAGGTAGCCCTTTTCAGTAGCATTAACTGGATCAGACCCTCTTCAGAAAAGATTCCACTGGCTTTAGCTAGTTAAAGCCATCCCAAGGTTGATCTAGAAAAGAAATCCTTTTGGTTGTTTGTTGTGGTTTTTTTCTGGGCACTCCCAAAGAACCAGCAACACAAATGTGGTCTCTCTCCAGACCAAGAAAATCAAATGAACAGTGATCTTCCCCATGTGTCAGAGCGTGAATTCAACAGATCACTTCTGCAGGTGCTTACAGGCTTCAGATCCTCCTGCAGTTATGTGCTTCCCCTGAGTATTTCTCCCTCCCAGTGGGTCACTTAAAACCCACCTGTGAGAAATGCCTGCTTCTCTATGGCTATCTAAATGCATGCTTCTTTGGCTCAGCTTAAGTGACAAGCTGGACACACCACAAAAGCAGCTTAGCAATGCTTGCCTCAGACCTAATTTAAGCCCACGTTGTAAGTATGTTATTAGTATGAACAAAGGAAGATTCCAAACTGGATTTGCAAGAAGGAGAGCTGCTGTAATTTGCTTCTTATCCCCTGCCCACTGCCTTGTTTCCTCTGTCCACAGATAAACCACCACCTGTGTTTTTCTGCTGCTACAGCTCAGTGTCCTCAGCTCACAGGCTCCCAAAATTCTTATCTGTGCTTACTTACGAGTGAGCGTCGGGACATTTTTGGAGGGATTCCATCCAGCTCTGTTGCCCCATTAGGGCCTGATCCATCTTTTCTTCTCTTTCGGGAATTCAGCCTGGATGAGGTCGGCGGCTCCATCTTGCCAAGCACGTCCAGAAAGAACTGGAACAAAATGAAGGAGAGGGAAAAAAGAAAAAAAAAGAAAAGAGATATTTCTCAGTTCTTCCAAAACAGAATCAGTCAACAGCAGGCACAGTGTACAGAAGGTCAGTGCAAAGACACAGCCACCTCACAAGGGGCTTAGCCAGTTGTATTTGGCATCAGCTGCCAAGGCTTGACAAACAGTGCCTGGTGGGAATACTGAATCATTTAATGCAACTCAGAGCTGTTCTGCAGAGAGAAGCGTGCAGCAGTCAGCTGGCTGGAGAGACACTGAAACAAGAGTTGCAATGCAAATGATAAATCATTACTACGAGGTTAATAATGCTATTTTCACATCTAAAAGGCAACCTAAGGATTATGGTATGCCCAGTTCACATTTAGCCCACATTTAGTCCAGCTCTCATTTGGATTCTTTACCCTTTACATCCCCAAGGGCAGTTGGCAGGTGTGCTGCATCCCTGTGCAGTCCAGAAGAGAGGACGGAAGGTCTGTGCAGAAGGATAAAGGCGAGGGAAGGGCTCGTAACTTAAATGACTTTAAACAGGCTTGCAGTTTGCTTTGCTGTTTGTGTAAGAGCAAGCTGCAGCTCCCCAGTGGGGACAGCCCACCTCGGGACAGCTGCCACCGTGTGTGTTCCCCTCTTGTCCCTTGTCCCCACCGCAGTGGTGACTCAGCAGATGGTGAAGCAGCTGCTGACACCACATTAAGCCAACTTCTGGCACTTTATGTACCAGTTTGCATTTAGTGGTGGTTCAGCTGAACGGCTTCTCTGATGAACAGACAGACATATCACCGATTTGGGACAGAAATGGTGACAGTTATAGAGAAGGAAGTTATCTGTGCTTTGGGCTGGAGTCACTACTTTTCAAAAAAGGCTTGGAGTATTAGTAACTCCCGCTTCACACAGCTGAAGCAAAAATAGGGATTTATAGGAAGGCATGGCAGTGAATATTCCCTTTCCAGTTGCTGCAGGAGTCAGAATTGGGTGCTAGACTTGCAAAAACTAAAAAACAGCATTATCTCTTGTTCTCTTGAAGTGTGCACCTCTCCAGCGCAGCACGTGGCACTCCTGGCCTGCAGTTCCCAGAGCAGCATGACCCCCCCGCCCAGCAAGGATCCTTAACGATCCCAAGGTGCGTGCTTCGACTCCCTAATAATAAGAGTGGTGTGGAATTTAAAACGTCTCCCCACCCACATGCAGTGGGCGTGCTGGAATGTTAGGTGGGGCAAGTGCAAGGTGCGACAAAGAGCAGATGCCCCTCTGAACACCACCTTTTTCTGCAGTAGAGGGGCTTTGCTGAGTGTTCTGCTTGGGATGAGCTACGTGATGAGCTGTGACTGCCCTCAAAGGGCCACTGGCAAAGCTCTGCTGTTTGGCGGCCAAGAAGGGTGTGTTTTGTGAAAGAGCTGTTAAATAGCAGATTTAGTGATCGGACTTACTCAAGCACACATGACTCAAGGTTAAGGAATGCTCCAAAGAACCACGTCAAATGCAGTTTAATGAGATGCAAATATCTCTCCCTCCCTACTGAACATCAGTATGATGATACCTTACGGACAGTTTCAGGGTCAGACACAGCTGAACTGATTTGGGGCTATAAGTATCCCTGGCTGCTCTGTTAGACCTACCTCAATGTACTAACAACAGGGAAAGAGAATCTCAGGTCAGTAGGGAGACAAAAAATATTGTGGAGAAGACAAAAGTGACAGTGAAGAGCAGCCACAAGGACATTCCAGAACTGTGTGACCCATCCAGCACTCACTGTGAGTCAAGTTTGCCGTTTCCCCCATTCCAGTAATTAAATCACTATTTCCTGAGAACAAACATATGCGAGAGTGCAAACATAACCTCAGGCAAAAAAGTTCAGAACCCTCAGGTCCAAGTCTTCAAACATTTAAGCAAGTGTTTGACTTTCAGGTGAGATCCGTGCTATAAATGCAGCAGCTTCCAGAGTGCCTCTGTGAAAACACAGGGTATGACCCAAATCATTCGTACATTTTGCAAGGTGTCATCTTGCAAGCACACTCTGCGTCAGTCATTTACCACCCTAATCCTAGCAGAAACCATGAGGTTCAAAAAAAGCAGCAAGTATCTGTCTCTGGTCCAAGTAACCCCAGAATTCATAGAAAGGCTGGGGGTAAACAGCAGCCGATTTTCTTGTTATTTGGTTAAAATAATTTCACGGTGCTTCAAGTCACTTGCTGGTCTCTGACCACTTTCTTTTCTTCCCTTGGGAGAGAATTAAAAGATCTGTTCATGTGCTGAATGCAGACATTCTGAACCACTGCCCAGCAAAACATCAAAATCAGAGGTTTTGGTGCTGAAGCACAGACACAGCAGCCCCACACATAACCAGGTGAAGCTCTTCCCCCATCAGCGTGGCCCATCAGAGCAACCAGACTTCACTGCACACAAGTGCAGTCTCTGCTGAAATATCACCAGTCCCTTGCTGCTGGGTGCAGATCTGATGGCCAGGCAAAGAACTGCAGGTTACAGTACAGGGCAGCACTGTCCCAGCTCAGGAGAAAACTCCAACAGCTTCTTCCAGCTCCTCCCACACCCAACCATCCATCCTAACTTTTCCATTTCTCAGGGTATACATAGTTAGTTAAACAATGGCAAATAACAACTTAAATGAATGGATTCCAGCTTGGTAGATTCTATTATTCGCTGTGCATTAAATCAGGAGCAGTGGTGAGACAAAATCAGCCACACAGCAGCAGCTCTACCCCATGTACCAAGTGAGAAACCAGCTTCAAGGGTGGGATAAATATGCTCTGTCTGCTCCGACTGACAGGTGAGATGTTGCTGAAGGAGCCTCTGCAGTGTCCGGCCACCTCATGAGTGACACAGCTCTGTTAATTACTCAAATTAGTGCAGAAATGAAACAATAATTTTACCACTATTCAGAACTTTAAAACCTGCGGATGGTGCATTTCTGGGAAGTCCTCCCATCACCAGGCTTGGCTTCATAAAAAACAGGGAATACACCTTACTGCAATAAACGTACTAATCTTAGAATGCTTCATTTTGACCCAAGTGACTAAAATAGCATCCCAAACAATTATTACCAACAGTGGGATCCAGCATCTGTAGCTGAGTTTAACACATGAGGACATGGCTTTGCTTCCTCAAATCCATAAAACACTGCCTGTTCTAAAATTAATTACATTTGCAGCAGATGGGGAAGAGGAAAGAGAAGACAACTCTCAAAGCTCATTCTGAACATTCCAAGATAGAAACCAAGCATAACCAGAAGAAAGAGCCTTGCTGTAAAATATTAACATTGTTCTATTTTAAGGTGTCACCCTCCTGCATTATTGAGTTCCTGGCTGAATACAAGATACTGCTCCAAAGGAGCAAAGCTGGAAGTGCCCCGTTTGGAAAAGCCATGGGCATATCACAATCCCTGCACCACTTTATAAAACCCTCAGGACTTTTCTTCTTAAACTTATTTATTTGGTGTATCCTGTATCAAAGAAGGGCCTTGCATCACCTGCCAGCTAACTCATCAAGAGAGAGACCTGCATGGGCTCTGCAAGGAGCAGTTGACTGCCAGATGGGAAAAGAGTTGCTTTTCCTGTCAGGGAATCACTGAATCCCACTGAAACACAGCCACTTCTGGGAGAGGAAAGAGGACAAGCATTGATTACTAGAAAGGAAAACAAAAATATAGGCAGGGAAGGAATTTAAAACTTCTCCCTTAGTGTTAGTTAACTACACCATCATCAGAGCTGGAATTTAACCACAACACCAAAGCTGACACCTCTGACAGGTGGAAGAGGTCAGAACAGGCTCAGCAAATCTTCCTGCTTAGCCAAAGCTTTACCTCACTGTCTGCATCTTTATGGACAGTGCTGCTGTTTTTCAGTCTCGGTGGTGTCAGAGAACTCCAGCATTACACTACACCACAGAAGCAGGTCAGATTTTTCTGCACCCTGAACACATTGATGGCATGAGGATCTGGCTCACCTGCCTTTCTTTCTGATGCCCTGAAGAACTTCTTGGAGAATATTAACTGCAAACCTACATCAGTAGCAGGATTACTTCTGCCACTTCTGCTGCTTTTCACTTGCAGATTTACCTGTGAAGCAAAATAAATGCTGCTACTTAAACTCAGTAAATGCTCCAGCCCAAGGCTGCTGCAATTCCCAGTAGGGACCCAAAGCACAAGACTGGCAGCTGGACCAGCGAGGCCCTGGGACACCCACAGCTCCCTGGGTGGCACCGCCTGCTCCAAGGCTGTCCTATCGTCCCTCTCAACTTGGGAGGCGTTGGCACAGTCAGATGTGACTGTCATGTGCTGCTTTGCCTACAAGATCATTGCACTTTACAGGAACAAGATATTTCTCTTCTGCTGACTCATCTGCAGGCAACACTACTAAACTTTGCACTCTGCCAGCTGTCTGCAGAGAATTGCCTTGACACATGGACAGCATGTAAGCAAGAGCCTCAGGGAAAAGGCAGAAGTCCTGTCACTTCAGGTAAGTCCCTTGCCAGGCTATAAGGTACCAAAGTGAACCCGACATTCCTCTGCATTCCTTGACCACAGATCGAAGAGAATCCTTTTCCCCCAGTACTCCCTCACCTGCAACACCCAGTCTCCAATTAACCTTACTGGTGTGTATCCCCATGGAGATCTGTGGAGACACAGAGACCTGGGAGAGGTTAATGACAGAAGACTCATCATGGATCTCTCTTCTATCAGTGCTTAAAAAACTTGCCCAATCTCCAAGGCAACTTCATGCCCAGCCCAGGCTTGCCAGGCCCAGCTCTGTCCCAGTCTCCAGACTCAGAGCATCTGCCTGGAAACAGAGTGCTGCTGGCTATGACCCAGCCTGCTCCCCTCCAGACAGACTGCGACGCTCCCCACAGTCAGCATCTGCTCTACCTGGATGCTCAAGCCCTTGAGCCCCTTGAAAAGGTTACTGCAGGATCTGGCACAGTCCCGTCCACTTGTAAAGCACAGGCTGCTTCAGATACTTTGGATCAAGATCAACAAAAGCAGCTGTCCCACAGTGTGTTAAAAGCCACACGAACACATAAAAGGGATTCCCGTCCAGCCAGTGCCACACATCGGTCCAACAGCATCCACACCTTTGCTACAGCTGCTAAAGCAACCCCCCAGGCCTCGCATCCCCTACTGGTCCAGGCAGGCTGGTAACATTCTCTCAAGGAGAATCTCTGGTACCCGTGTCCTGCAATTGATGGAAAGATGCTGCTTCTCACCAACAAAGTCCCAAATGGCTGAAGATAACTCTGCCTAACCACAACTGAAAAAAGTTCTGTGCGGTCACCTAGATAGTGTTGCTAAGTGCTACACACAAACAGAGAAACTGCTGTCAAGACCTCTGTGAATTCACAGCCCTTCTGGGTATACCATAACCTCCAGGCACTGAGTGTCTCGACATGCGACAGCCTCTGCCGGGTGAGTGAAGCAGCAGAAATAGGGTTTATGCAGAATACCAGAAAAGATACTGTCAGGGACAATAAAGTGTGAGAATAGGTGGCCATTGTGACCTGACTTCTGCACTCGTTTTTTTTTTAGGGACTAGCAACAGAGCTTTTTGAGTCTAGAGGTGTAAACCTCCTTTAGCAGGTTTACACACCAATACCAATTCCTTATGACAACAGTTATTGTTAGTGGCGCTTGGTACAGTGATTTCAAGAGTGTTACAATCCAGACCTCGCAGCGAGAAACTTCAAAATCAGGAATTTTAATAATTGTGTATACACAGCAAATTTCTTTGGGAAATAATGTGTGGGTATTTGTCATCTGAATTTCAAACCCAAATACAGTTGCTGTCCTCAGACCCTGGGGTCCTGCAGATGGAAACCCAGCATTACCTGTTTCTGACCGCCCCAACCTTTGCCAGGGTCCTGCTGCGGCAGCATCACACAGAGACACAGAGAAGGCCACCTGCAGCATCCTGCACCTCCCTCCACAGCGAGTCAGGACTACAGAGGAGCATCACAGCTCTCAGAATTCCTGAGGACTTTAAGTCCCATTACAAAACCATTAATCAGTGCAGCCAGGACTTCGGTGGACACAAAAAGCGGGTTAGAGAGGACGTGT